CACATAAATAAATTTATCAACGTTTGAGGATTGTAAAAATGAAAAAATTATGAATATTATAACTTGGTTATACTTAAAGGTTTTTATGGTTTGATCTGATAGCCGTAAGAAAACTATTCATCGAAATAAATTAATCAGCGCTCGAAAACTATTTGTCGTCGCCGCTTTGCGCGGGTACACAACTAGTGTATATATATATATATATATATATATATATATATATATATATATATATATATATATTAGAATAGATGGAAAGCAAAAAAATTAATGATGTCAACAGATAGTTCCAACGTTCAAACCAGCCCAATGTTAATTTTATTTTTGAAAAAACTTTTACCCGCGGTAAAAAATCATCGTTGGTATTATACCGGCAGTAAAACCCCTTACCCCCCTCATGGCCCAATGTTCATCGACGGTATATCTGCCATCTCAGCCTAGGGATGTCAAAAAGTCTCGTGGGACATTGTTCCCGTGGGGGCCCCGTTGCATTTGTGGGTATTTATTAAAAAAAATCGGGGCAATGATGGGGGCGGGGGCGAGATGGGCAATCCCGTCCCGAAACCCCCATGGGGACCCTGTTAATAAATTATACATATATTAATTATATAAATATAATAAACAATAACATGAGTTTGAGCTTCCAAAATTCAATAAAAAACATGTTTTTTAAGTTGTTAGTATAATGTTTTTAAGATGCCATAACTTTTTTATTTTTAACATGTAAAATTCTGCTATAAATAATTATTTGTTACCTAAAAAAATAATTGGGGGAGGGGGAACGGGGGCAGGGGCAGGGGTAATAAGGGGGATTCAGGGGCGGGGGCAAGGGTAGGAAGGTTGGACATTTCGGGGGTGGGGGTGGGGGTGGGGGATACACTCCATGCCCCGTTTGTCCCCGTTGACATCCCTACCTCAGCCTTCACCAATGGTAAGAAGGTGCGACACCCCATAGCCTTAAAAGTTACGTGTGATAGTTTTTAGATTTGAAGCGTTTTGTTTAAATTAAATGCTAAAAGGTTGTAGTGTCACACGATACTTTTTGTTTAAAACGGAACGTTTTATCAAACGCTAGAAGTCAAACGTTCCGTGCCAAACACGTCATGAGAAATTGTTTCCATCTGTTTATTAGTATCTAACTCAATCATCACACACATACACCATTTTATTGTTTTGTCAAACTCAGTTGTATCAATAATAGGTTTTTATAAATTTTAATTGACAAATAAATTATTTGCTTTTAATTCTTCTATCAGAGTTTACTAAGATACTATGTGACTGATAAAATGTGAAATTATTATTAAAGTTATATATATTTTTGAATGTCTTGATTCTTGAAAAACCGAATTATAAAAAATGATTCAACTGAAATGTAATTTAGATGGGTTGGATCGAATTTCAATTTAGTTTGAAGGGTTAATCGCAAAAAAGACCCTTATATGTTAAGTTTTTTTCGAATTAAACCTTTTTTTTCCTAAAAAAACCATTACGTTACCCTTATAATTTTTATTTTTTCGATTTATCCCCTACATTTTCATTTTTTTCCCGAATTAGCCCTTATATTTTTGCAATTTTTTTCGGATTAAATATCAACTTTATTAAAAAAAAAATTCTAAAAAACTCTTTACATCTTTGTTAACTTTAAAGATTTCTAGCATTCCCCTTGCACATGCTCTTATCTCTATGATAGTTTTAAGAAAATCTAGAGAGATGGTTTTGTAAATCCATTGCTTGAAGATTGGTCAAGATCATTGTAGGCACATGTAATGATATGGAAAAGTTAACCTAAGATGTGTAACGATCATCATTTTGATCAAGGGTTATCGACATTAAGTTTTGATGTTGGTTATGGCGAAGGAAGGGTGAAAGTTTTTCTTGTTGGATTTTTTTAGGAAGTCATGTGGTCCTATGATGGAAGATAAGAATGACAATAAGAGAAGAAAGATATCACTCGTTGGTGTGAAGAAGAATATAGGAGGGTTGTGAACCCTATGTGTAACACCCTAAATCTGGTATGTCTTGAAACCCTCAAGAATTTCATTTTAGCATAATTGGCCCTTTAAGTACGATGGGCGTACTTAAGTGTACGCTTAGCGTACTATGCATGAATGGTCGCGGAGGAACTAGAGGTACGCTGGGCGTACGTTCCAAAATCATAGTAACAATTTTAACTGAACTCAATATAGAAAACGTATTTTAACTGCAACTTTTTTAGTAAATGTCACATCCCAAAATCATAGTAACAATTTTCATTTTTCAAAACTCTTTAATAATCCATAAACCATACAAAAACATTATTTCAAGAACATGGTCAAAATCAAAGTATCCCAAAATAATCAACCAACAAAATATCAATGATGATGTGCACAATCACGCATTCAGCTTGTCCAAATCATCTGATGTATTTGAAACATAAAATCAAACTGTAAGTCAAAGCTTAGTGAGTTACCTCAAAATACCCCACACAATAAAACAAATATAAATGTGCATGCTGGGTCCACAATCATCAGACTGGATTACCCCCCGCCTATAATCATCGGAATGGATTACCCCCGGCCTACAGTCATCAGAATAGATTACCCCCGGGTCCACAATCATCGGATTGGATTACCCCCGACCCACAGTCATCGAACTGGATTGTTCCGGGTTTGTTGGCTTACATCATAGAGCAGTAAAACCTCAACTCAACCACACTATGTCGACATATGAAACAAATAAACATATAACCAATAAGTACATGTAATCATATAGATCTACCAATCTAACACATCACTATAACATAGTAACATCCTATATACTAGAATACATAACACAACCTAGTGGGTCGGCATTGGTGCATTCGACCTACGAGTACAGTGAGGAAGACTCACCTTAAAGTCTAGAAGATAGTTGAACTGATCACCATTCCAAATATCTGCTCTACAGGTCACCTAAACATCAAACAGGGATCAAGCCTCAATCTACTACTCAAATTACCCAATTTGACCTAAAGTTAAACTTGCTCAAAGTCAAAGGTCAATTGTCAAAATTCAAAAGTCAACATCAGTCAGGTTACGCGATGTGTAACAGCTCTACGCTTTGCGTAGAGCATCAAGTGGCTTTTACGGGACAAGACAAGGCTATGTGTTGCGTAGTCATAATTAGGCCATTAAGTGTTTTAATACTAAAATAACGGATAAATAAAATTGATCACAATCAAGCAATTATCATAGTGTAGATATTTTATCAGACCTTTTTTTGTTTAATTTTGATCTAAATTTATTTATTTATCGAGTGAAATTATGTATAAATATGATAACATAAGTTTCCAACATCGAATTATTAAAAAGGTTTATTTGTTATTAAATTAGTTTTTGGGATTTACTTAATATCTAGTTAGTTAGTATTTAAAGGGATTTGTTTGACATTTAAATTATTATAGGGTGAAGTGTCACAGGGCCGGTCCAAACCGATTTGGGGCCTGGGGCAAAAACATAAAATGAGGCCCTTCAAGATAAAGAAAATATTATATTTAGATAACTAGAATTAGTGTACGAAACATTTTTTTTTTACAATGTCTAAACTCACAGTCTTGCAAAATTTAGTTTTTTTTTTTTTTTTCTTTTGGCATTTTGTCGCACTTCTTTGAACAAGGATCCATAATTATTAAAAGCGAAAACGGGAGGGAGTGGCAGGATTGTACATCTAAAGAGCTAATAGAAGAAATAGTAACTTACTTTGATTCAGTTGTGTATTTTCAATTACTTCATCTTGGATCTTGATGAAATTGATCTTTTTAGATTGTGCATACACAATTGTGCAACAATTGAACATGAGAAACTTAATGCAGTCTATAGTCACTTGTTCTATCAAGATAGAAATTAAGTTCATAAGTTGTATATTAAATTTTTAAAACCTAAAATACTCATATGAATAAAAAAAAATGTTGATTTCATTCCAGCATTTCATCGAACACTTCATATGCATGAAAAAGATTACAAAAAAAACTTGAATGGAACAGTTGGCTTCATTCCAACATTGCATCTAACACTTCATATGCATTGATTTTTTTGGGAAAAAAACTTCACTGGAATAGTCGATTTCATCCCTTCTTGATTGAAATAGTTTTTAACAATTAATGACTTGGTAAAGATTGATGAATTCGGGAAAAAAAGACTGCATATCATACTCATTCTGGGATACTAAACACACACCTAGAAATTGGAACTTCAAAATTAGATATCATACCTTTAGAATTAGAACTTCAAAATCAGAAATTGGGGGATTCAAAATCGTAACTCAGTAGCTTCATTTATGCAATCTTGGAATGTCTCTCATTTTCTTTTCTATTTGCAGGTCACTCTCATAGATGTGGAAATTTTAGATTGGAAATAAGATTATGAAGTGATTAAATGTGTTTTTTAACAATTGAAAAGTCATTTCGGAACAGTGTCTATTTTCCCGCTAATCATCGTCTATTTTCCCTCTATTTTCACCACTTCCATCTCTAGCTATGAGATTCAAACATGGGCCCTTTTCATTAATTCAAAATTTCGAGCGCCTCAACCATCTCAGCTAAAGTGCATTTGTTTGTCATGTTGCATATCGTATTTTATATAATCCAAAAGTATATATATAATTATTATAAATTTCGGGGGCCTCAAAAAATTTAGCGAGATCCGGGACGGTCACCCAGCTTGCCCTCCCTCTAGGGCCGATCCTAAGTGTCATAATTAGATATTGGAACTTCAAAATTAGATATCATACCTTTATTTCCCTCTAGGGCCGATCCTAAGTGTCATAAAAGGGAAATAAAAATGCAAAAAATTTAAATAAAAATTATTAAAACTGAAATAAAATAAGTTGAGGGGGTACTCTACCAATCCAGAAAGTATCATAAAATCATAGAATACGGGTTTCGGGTAGAAAGACCAAAAGAGATTAGATATTTGATAATCAAATTTGCAATGATCCATACGCAGCTCAAGACCAACCGTATTCCGTATTCCTCACGCATAGCCCTCCATATAACGATCCCTAGTCGTACTCTATACGCATTCATCAGTGAGCCATACGCATAATAGACGTGAGAGAGGTCTTGATCAGGTAGCCTAGCTAGGGTTTTTGTAGATTATACGCGTCCTTGAAGCAGAAGATACCAAACACGACACTAGTAAGTCCCTTCGTTTCTAATTCCTAATTCGTTCTTCAATTGATGTTGCTGCCATGCATATGGATGAAAATCTCGAACAAGTAGAGCATGTTCTTTCCAAGCTTCTCCCAAACTTTTCTTATTCCTGTAAAATTTAATTCCTATCTGAATTCCATGTTTTAGGATTTTCAGAATAAAACCATGCTATACTTGTTCTTTCTTGTCCAATCTATGTCACGAGAATTCTTGTTTAATTTGTTCATAAAACCTTGCTGCTCAAGTTATGTATAGCCGGCCTCCTTGTAAGTGTCCTTAAAAAAAATGCTTGATTCCATTCATGCAATTGTTGCTACCATTAATTCCAGCCATGAGAACCATATATGCTTATCGAACTGAATTATACACTAAATAATAGATTAAATAAAGTGTACGTTGAAAGCAACCATTAGACCCTATGCTTCGCGGACCTTCATAGCTCCAAACTAGATGTCATATTTTTTGAAATCTTGATGCATAACGTCCCTACCTTGCTGCCCAATATATTACCTGGCACGTGTTAGAATATCCAGAAAAAAAACCCCGCATATGATCATGATCTCTCCAATTTTGTGAAAAACCTATGATGCCCGCCGCCTATGATCATGATCTCTCCAATTTTGTGAAAAACCTATGATAACCTCGGATTCTTGCTATAGTTCTCTTGCCAGCTGTTAGGGTCCATAGGCTATGCCAAAACTTGTCTCTTTCTTTTGTTAACAAACTACTTCACCAAAGACGCCCCCGACATTTATGCCTAGTATCCCAGCCATGAAACCGTGTGTCATGAACCCTATTCTCCGGTGTTTTTGCTTCCTATTAGCATTGATTCATTTACAATCCGTCCCTCTCTATTCATGGGTTACAAACAGCCACGACACCATAATTATTCTTGAAACTAAAGCGATATAAGCTAAACAAGATACTATTAAAACCCTATAAAAGAGTTACATTGTAGCATTCATGAAACTAATAATTAATAAGGTTGTATTTGTGAGTTGTGAATAGGGCTTTTCTTGATGAGCTAGAGAGATTACTAGACTTTTGTGTAGGTGAAAGGACATTGGAGAGGCTAAGGTGAGTACATATATTTTTTTTGAACACTATCCCCTATAGAAGTATAAAACTAAATTTTTTTGCTATTATTTTTTATCTGTGTATCATGTTATTGTGCATGGCTTTTTATGTGATTATATGGCATGCAATGTGTTAAAGAACATATTAATGATGTACATACTATACTACTTACTATACTACATATATGTGATTAAATGTGATCTTACATGGCTTTCAAAGTTGTTAAAGGGATTTAAACTTGCTAAAGGGTTAAGTGTTTTACAATATTAAAGGATTTTTACCGAAGTTTTTACACAACATTTCAAAGGGTTTAAAGTGGGAAACAGGTGTGAGATGACTATGAGAGGCCCAAGCTTACGTGTAAGGGGCTAAATATCCGAAGTAGCTTGACCGCCTTGACATTTTTGAATGTCGTTGCCTAGTGCCACAATCAGACTAGCTCTTTATGAGTGGAAAATATCGACTTCTGCTTTGTACTTGTCCCAGAGATATCGATTTGTGATTTTCACATGTTCTAATGTTAGCAACTTATGTTACTCACTTATCCTTGTGTTATTCGAAACGATCGACTTGTGTTTGCACTTGTCTTAATGTTATTGACTTGTGCTTCACACTTGTCCTAGTGATACAATAGGTCTACGGGGTTAAGGTTACATTTATTTGTGTACATGTGTGTAGTTTAATTCTTTTGGCTGTTATATGAATTTAAATCGTGTTAAGGTGTTTCAGTGGTGGTAGATATGGTTTATATGAAAATATATGTGATAAAGTGTTAAAGATGTAGACGTGATTTTAATAAATTTTAAAGTGTTTTAAATTCTAATAAGTCTAATTTTATTAGTGTCCTCAGATTTTCTAGTATGACAGTTTACTTTCTAGTATGACAGTTTACTTCAAATAAAGAAGCTTGAGAGTTTTGGAGATTTCAAGACTTAAACCTTTAGCATTTAGCATTGTACTCTATTTTCTATTCGTTTATGTTTTATTTATGGTTTGATATGTGAGTTGAATTATATTGAGTTTGATAATCATTTATTATAAAAATATTATGAGAATCTAGGAAATTCCGCTATTGAATAAAAAAATTTTGTTAAAAATTTGAGCATACATTGATTTTAAAAACAATCAAATATTAAATTTTCCGAGGAAGGAAGGTGAAGTGGAAGAATTAGGGGTGAGCATTTGGTCCTCCAGACCGGACATGAACCTGATTAGCCTCAATATATCTGGTGTAAGGTTCATCAATTTCTGCAAAACAGGTCAGGTCTAGTCTGGTCCGATTCAGATACTCACTTTACGTCCAAGAACCGGGAGCTAGATCTTGACCTGGACCTGGTAAGCCTTAACAAGTCCAATCCAAGGTCCACAAATTTGTATAAAACCGATCTAATCCAATAGCCGATTCAGTCTGGTCTGACCTGATTCGGTCCAAATGCTCACCCCTATGAAAGAATAAAGTGTTAGTGTAATTTTTTTTAATAAAAAACAAAAGTAGATAAAAATAAGTCATTTCAAGAGTATTTAATCTTTATTTACAACGGAGTTAGCCAATAATAATAATAATAATAATAATAATAATAATAATAATAATGTTAATTTTGAAACATAAAGACTCCCGATGTAAAAAATTATACGAACAAAAGGTAAAAAAACATAAGTTCATCCAATTTCCAGAGCTTCTATTTATTTTGTGAGGACTTGAGAAATAAGGTTTTGTTTGTAAATGTTCTTTCCTTGAACAAATAGATCGTGCTGCTCTTGCATAAAGATTTTCCCCAATCTGACGTCCAACAGATCCTTCCTTCCCTGAATAATGATAGAATTCCATTTTCACATTCTCCTTTTCCTTCTCACTCTGTAATTCTTGGGATATTTGCTGTAACTGTCAATCATATCATCATTATTTACTTTCCTTTTCTAAATCCCATTTTCTCAGTACAACATACGGATTTTAGGGTTCAATTTTGTAGAATCCCAGAATACCTCATACTCCCAATTATACAATCAGAAACGAAAAACCCTTCATTTTTCTAGTTTGTAGATTCCCCTTTTCTTATTTATTGATATTTTTTAAGGAATCAGTCGGAGAAGCGTGAGCGAACCTGTCTTGGTGGTAGTCGTGGTTTGATTGAAAGCTCAGTGGAGAAACTTTTTTATGGGTTTACTGAATAAATTAGTGAAGAAATTGGAGAGTTTACGATGCTAAGGAAGAATAAGAGGGAGCTTAACCCTATCTTCAACTTCATTTGTTAATTTTGATGGCCAATTCTCAACATCGCTGCGTTTTTGGTTCGTTATCTCCTTCTATACTTGTACATTTTCGTAACCAGGGGTTTGAGATTGAACCAAATTATAGGAAAAATATGCAGAAAATCTAAAAACCCTAACGCAGTCAATACAGTAGAGTTTATTTTCATTGTCTATGGTTTATTGGAAGTTTGTAATCAATTTAACACTTATATCATTATACGACTTGTTTATTTGCAGTTGGAAACATACCATACGATGCAACTGAAGAACAGCTTAGAGAAATTTGTGAGGAGGTTGGCCCTGTTGTATCATTCAGGTTCGTCAATTTATCTATTCCACAAAGTACTATTTTTTATTTTATTTTTTCGGTTTAATGCTGCTTGCTGCCTGCTTTAATCTGAAAAATTTATGGCTAATCATAGTAATTAGTAACATTCACCAGAATCATTGCATTTATCTTAGCACCCAATTAGTTAAAGGAGGCAATTGAAGTGCTTGATTTGATAATTTCTCTGTCTTCTTCCAACTTGTCAGATTAGTTGTGGATAGAGAAACTGGTAAACCCAAAGGTTATGGGTTCTGTGAATACCAAGATGAAGAGACAGCTCTAAGTGCTAGACGTAATCTTCATGGTTATGATATCAATGGCAGACAATTAAGAGTTGATTTTGCTGAAAATGACAAAAATAACGAAAGAAGCAAAGAACAGGTAAATTAAATGATTTGAATATAGTCATTGACATTGTCTCATTGATGATTTAATTTTTTTTTCCAGGGTCGTGGTGGACCTGGAATGGCTACAAATACAGGTAAGATTTCGCCTGAGCTGATTACTTTTGTAATAGTAGTATGAGATAATCAATGTAATATCTTTTGAAATAATGTTGTGTTCCTGTAACATAGCTCCTCAAAAACAAATTGGGGGTCCAGCTGGACATGGAGATCCTAGTGTTCACCAGAGTTTTGGTCTCCAAGATGCAATGGCTGCTGCAATTGTGATGGCGGGAGCTCTTGGAGGTGGTCAAAATGGCATCCGGAGTCAACCCATACCAGGAACAGACCCTTTGACTCTTCATCTGGCTAAAATGTCCAACACCCAGTTGACTGAGGTTTTGACTGAAGTCAAGGTATGCAGAAAGCACGTGGTTTTTATGGTCTAAGTTTTTAGTAATTAACTTGAAATAAATCAATAATGTAATTGTTTTAATGTTGATAACACAAACAGGCATTGGCTACTCAAAACAAGGAGCAAGCACGCCAACTGTTTCTTGCAAATCCACAATTGTCAAAAGCGGTTTTGCAGGTTATTTTTTGACCCTAAACTTAGTTCCATATATTCCTCTCATGATACTATCACTAGCTCATATTATCTTTCCACTAAAAGTCTTTATCTCCAACTTATTATTTAAATTTTAAAGTAAACACTTTTTAAACATCTTTCCTAATGTTTTGATTGCAGGCTCATATAATGCTGAAGACAGTTCCTCCCCAATTGGTATGCATTTACTTTCTTCAAACTTGGAAAAAAGTTGTAAAAATCATGCAACTTTTGAGAAGTGTTATAAAGCCATGTCAAATTTTTATGTGTTTCTTGGTGAAAATTACTCATTACTCATATAATAATTAATATATTAAGAAAAAGTAGATGGTTAATGGTTTTGTTTGTATGATGTAGTTACAGATGGCGGGGATTAGTCGGCAAGTTCCTGGTCCAGTGGCTCAACAATCTGGATCACAGCTTCTTTCTGGGCTGCTGCTGCTGCCGCCTCTTGCTCAAAACAAGATGCCACTTGGGTTCATCATGCCTCAAGCTCAAAGTCAATCATCACATTCATCTGTTCCCCTACAGCCCCCTCCCCGGTTTCAGACCCCACCACCACATCCGACATTATTGGGAGGAGTACAATCAGTGTCTGGAACACTTCAGTCGTTGCATCCACAACAACCTTCTATTTCTATACCCACTCCCCCTCATTCATTATTACAAGATAATGTCTTTAAGGTGCTAATGTACACTTTACTCTTGCAAATATGTAGCTATTGGAATCATGTGCCTCATAGAATAGGTTTGTTTATGGTTTTGTTTTTAGGGTAAAATGACAGAAATAGCAAAACCTACTTTAGTTGATTTGTTTATTATAGAATCCTACTTCCATTTCTTCGTATTACAACATTGTACTTTGAAAAGTCTACCAAATTATAACAATGTCATCTAGATTCAAAGCAGTTTTCATTGCTATAACTAGGTAGAGTTTTCAAAGTAGTAATATGATAAGAAAAATAAAAATATAAGTAGAATGCTATAATTGGGTCAAAGTACGATGCCTACTTTCATTAAAATAAAAATTGATGGTTTTGAATGTGTTTACAGCCCAGCTCCTCAATCGGACCTTCTATTCTTAATAATGGAGACAAGGATCATCATCATCATCATGTATTGCCTTTGCATCATAACATCCCAACTGGTGGTTGGGGGCATAATAATCATCCAATTCCAAACAATAACACTGCTTCAAAGTTACAAGAAAATGGACATGGACATGGACGCGACAACAGCAACAGCGATCAAATTAATCATCATCCAACAAAATTATTGAAAATGGAGGATGGAAAAGCTGCCCCTTTCTCACCTACACCTACTCCACATATAAATCAAAACCACTTCTCAAAAGCAGGGCCCATAGACTCCCAGAAGCAGAAACTTGAGGTATTTATTTATATTAAAAAATAAATTGGTGTGTATGATTAATCGATTGTCTGAATGGGTTGGGTGCAGGTTCTTCCCTCTGGCTCGGAATCGGAATTATTGGAACAAGTGATGAATCTGACAGCAGAGCAGTTAAGCTCTTTGCCTCCAGAACAACAGCAGCAAGTCATTCAGCTTCAGCAGATGCTTATTAGACAAAAGTCCACTTATTAATCAAACCCAAACCCATTTCACAACAACATTCATTTGCATTGCTCTTGTCTTTCCAAATCTGCAATACACAGATCACAGATGTAGACCACACCAGCGGCTGCAAAAGTTTATAAACAGATTGCAAATCATTATCTGTTGGTTGCTGTTTTATTTTTGTAAAAATTTTGTAGGCTGGATTATAAATCATATATCTCTAATTCTCTCGATTGTATTGTTAAAGTATTTCACAGACTTGTTTTCGTTTACATATTTCTTTTTTTATTGCAAACTAATATAAATTCCTATCTTTTGACAACATGATTGCGCGTTTATTATTTATACTTATCAAGTAACAGATATAACTCGCAGTCTAGCACAATCCCAATATTATAACAAATATGTTATAAATTATTGTTACAAGAAAAATAATAACACGTAAAGAAATCCTAAATCAAGCAACCGCCTCTTGAAAAGTTGAAATTGAATGTTCCTTACATGGCAGCGTTTCACATAAACATGTTTGTATCAAATTTTGGTTTATTGCAATGTTTGTAATACAATTGAACATTGTTTATTGAGTTTGTTATATGCAAAAAACTGAACTATAAAATTTGAAAGGTTGCAACTTGTGAGTTCGATTTTAATGATTCTTTTAAAAGTTAATGTTACTTTGGTGTAAATAAACGTACTTGAAAAAAAAAAATTATATCAAGTTTTGCTTTACTCTCATATAGGTAGCGCATAAAACTCAACTTCAAAATTTCAAAATTTTATTATATACAAAAATCCGATTATTTGTGCATCAACGTGAATATATAGATTTCTTCCAAACAATAATTTTAACAAACATAATTACAACAATAAAAGATAACGCTTACAAAATTAGAATAACTTAACAAACAATAGTATTAGCGAGCATACATTTATATAGAATATTTGTATTATTTTGTATTTATCTTTTTAGTTGAATTGTGGAGTTTTAATTTTTTCTTGACCCACTTAGCAGCGAAGGTTGCAAAAATAATGGCTATCTGGACATTTTGTTTGATTTTTGTCTAAATTTTGAAACAAACTTATAAGAGTTATTTAAATTTAATTTTTTATTTTTGTTTATTTTTCTGTACAGCTCTATTATGGTAATATCATAACTTTTTTCGAAGCTTTCTATTTTAAACAATATTATAGTGGATTTAGCGTAAAAAAGCACTTCTAATTTGGTTAGACATGTATTTTTTTTTTCTGTTTTTTTTTTGGTATGTACAGAATATGAATACATTATTCAGTTTAAATCGACTATCAGTATAAGAAAACCAGTTATGCCATTATGGTTGGCTTGTTGCTTATGATGATTCGATTGAGTTCATATTAATTTGACTTATTTTGTTTCTAAAATTATCAAAACAAACTTATGGCCTAAAACGAACAAACCAAAAGAATGTTTAGATTTATTTAGAAGAATGGATGTGTATTATGGAAAACCGACTACAAAAGGCCAACACGCAAAGAACTAAAAAAAATATTGTTCCCAACCAATTTCAGAAGTCTAGCACGTGAGTTTTGTTTTTCTGAAACAAAAATGATAATAGTTGAATTAACGTTAAAAAGTTTACGTAACATATTAATAATATATTATGTTAAAGCACTTTTACAAATATATTTTGTATTAAATTAATATAGAATTTTATATTAATATTTTAACAATTTATGTGAGCATCAAGTTCTAATGAACTTGTTTAATTATATAAAAAACTTTATACATTGATTTTTCTGGTCTAAACATATATATATTTTTTTCTAAAAACATTTATATTTACCGATTTTTTCTTAGCTGATTTACCTGTATTCTTCCGGTTTTATGAATAGTTTCGAAAAGTCTTCACTTTTTTTTTTCAATCCGATTTTATACATACTTTCGTTTCAGAAACCCTCATAGTTGACATATTTTTGCCTGGACCAACTTTTCATTTTGGCTTTCCTTTTTTTTCTTCTTCATGTTTTTTATGGTGTGGTCGATAGTTTTCAATAAAAAAAATATGGGAAAGATATTTATTTTTTTTAAAACAAGGATAAATAATGTTTTGTCCGATTCTTGTTGGCAAAATACATATCCAAATGTATTTACATATTGCTAACATCCTTTTCTCGAGTTTTAAAATTAAAGAAAGTGAAGGAAAAAAAAGGAATAAAAGGAAGAGTTGTTTTTCTTAATTAGGTGTGTTCTCGAGTTGAAATAAAATAGAAGGAAAATAAATGAAAATTATGTTCTTAAGTTGGAAGAAAAGGAAAAGAAATTTTGCCCGTTGTTGATATATATATATATATATATATATATATATATATATATATATATATATATATATATATATATATATATATATATATATATATATATATATATATATATCATTTACCCTCTATATTTATATTTTAAAAACATGTTCTAAGCAATGGTGGACTTATATAGTGTCCGGGGGTCCCAAACCACTACTTCGATTCAGACCGTTAGTATAATTTTTTTCTATTAGGTGCAATGTTTTTGAAATATGAGTTCACTGTTGCTTTTTTGGTGCCACCACTGTTAGGAGCATAAAATGCACATTTTTATATGTTCATTTCATTTTAATTCAAGTATTGCATAACATTTAGTTTAATTTTGCATGCATTTTTGCATTTTCGGGACATTTTCGAGGATCAATCTACTTTTGATAGTTTTGGTGGATGTTTCAGGGGCGTTCGGGAATTTGGGCATGCTTAGGATGGTCAAGGGATGCTCTTTGCAAAATTTTAGAATTTCTGAAGCAAGATTGAAGAAAACAAGATTTTGGAATTAGATATTCACTCAGAGCATTCCACGGTCGTGGAATGAAGTTCTCGACACAAAAATTTCTCATTCCACGGGCGTGGAATCTCAAGGCAAACCATTTCACAGTCGCAGAATTGGATCTAATAGTTTTTTGGACTTTTTAACTTCCGATTAAAAGAGGATTTCTGGCAATTTTCAACACAACTTCTAACCTAGACTTCAAGATGGTGATTTTGGGAGATAATATCATCATTTAGTACTTTAGAAACACTATTTCCTTGATTTTGTAAGTTTATTTGAAGACCAAAACTTGTTGAATTTGTGATCTAAGTTAGTCATGTGTGCTTAACTTTTCCTTTCATTTCCGGTTCTAGCTTCATAATTACTTGTTGTTTAGATTGTGATATCATTATGTTTGAAAACTATCATTATATTTGAATATGAAAATAATTTAAAATAGCCAAACTCCAATCTATGATTGGAATCTAAACTCAATAGCCCAAAAATAGAATGTCTTCTTCATATTTTAATATTGAAAATTTGTAGAACTCCATAAACAACAACATGAAAAACAAAGGAATTATTAGTCAAAACAAGAAAGTTGGTCCAAACAAAAACTTTTGCAAAATATGAGTGTTTTTCCAAAAAAAAAAAATTAGGGTTTGTTCGGATTAACGAGAAACACAATTTACTTATGATTATACACATTCATTTTTAGTTTTTCCATTGTTATTAATTTCGATTCACGTGAATGTATTTTATGTATCTTTTATGACATCTATTCCATGTATTTACATCATATTTAACATTTTAATCTCATGCATTTTACATATTTTGGGACTTTTATTTAAATTGGTGGAACCATTTGATTTACATATTTTTTTAAGATTAGAACATGTTTAGGATGTTGTAGATGAGTTGCATTTCAAGTTTCGCGGAGATTAGATTTGATATGTAAAAATTAAAATTTTCGAAGATTCAGACATTTTTTAGGAGTTACACGCCTTAGCACCCTTTTCCTTGGGTTTGACTCAGTCGAGTCCATCAAAAAGATGATTTTAGGTTTCAGGAGTGTTGACTTGGTTCAGTCACTTCAAGCCTAAAAAAACGGTAAACTACACCATATGAGCGACGCAGGTCAACGTACCCTAAGACACACATGGGAGGTCAATCGCGAAACACTAGCAAATTTTGGGAGTGCCAGGGATTGAACCATTGACATCTTATTTGGAATTCCGCACCTCAATCCCTAGACTCCCATCGCAGGAGATTCACTCCAAAACTACACATAAACTTGGTCAAGTTAGTTCAAAATTAAGAAAAATGGGATGGAATGGTTTACTCGGTCGAGTTGGTTCAAAGGGTAAGTTTGACTCGGTTGAGCCAAACATAAAACTTGCTCAACACATTTTTCAGTCTATAAATACATACCTAGGTCTTTATCTCACGAAGACCCGGTTTTTGGAGTATGAGCAATGACATTTGGAGCAAGGAAACATTGAAAAACACAACATAAAAAGGTGAGGTAAATATGCTCTTGCTTGATGCAACTAAACAAGTTCCTCAATATGAAAAAATTTCTTCAGGATCTTTGCACATCAAAGAAAAAGCTATAAGGTAACAAAACTATAAAAGTATGTGAAGATATTTATGCTATTTTACAAAAAGGGTTGCCTACAAAGATCCGGATGTTTTCACGGTTCCTTATAGATTAGGAAACCTTAATTTTTCCAACAACCACTCTATATCTTGGTGCATTTGGCAATATCCTACCATATTCAATTTTTAAAATATTAATGTAAAACCATTGAAGAAAACCAGGATAACTATTTAATTGGATAATCATTCTATAGTGCAACACCCGAAATTTAGGAGGCTAATTATGGAAAATAAAACCTCATTTTGAAAGGTCAACTCGTCGAGTTTAAGGCATACACTCGACGAGTAAGAATTATTGGTCTCGCGCATTTTCGAAGATCAACTCGATGAGTTGGAAGGGACCAACTCGATGAGTTGGTCGTGGTTTGGGAAACCCTAAAATCGGGATTGTGCACCCTATTTAAACAACTTAAGCTCTAAGGTTTGGTCTCATTTCCAGCCTCCATCGACCAAAACCATAACCTCGAGATCCTAACGTCATTTTTGAGTGTTGTGAGTCCATAAAGAGTGTTTCTTTAATGTTTTCTTGAAGGAGTTGAAGTTGGTGATGCTTAGTGGAAGGGAGAAGCTTGAATCCATGGATTTCTCTGTTGAGGCAACCATATCAAGGTATAAAGTCGACACCTTGACTATTCATTTGCTAGATCTCTTCATGGAGAAGTTTATGGCCTTTAGTAGCTTATTTTAGTGTCATTCTTGGATTTGAGCATGCCATGAAGTTATGACTTCAGATCTAGGCATTTCATGGCCTATGAGACTTAAAGTTGCCAACTTTATCAAGTCTTGGCCCTTCTCCATGCCCTAGACCTCTTATGAAGCTTAGTTTTGGTGTTTTTAGCCTCTTGATACTTTGCATAGACGTAAAGTTAGCAA